GGTGAAGAGGCAATTTAAGACACCATTCTGTCTGCCCACTGACAACAGGGCTTAGATTACAGAGGCTCACAAGTGGGAGTGGACTTGCCACATCACAGGGATGAGGGCCTGGCTTCTAGCTCAAGCATGGCCCAAACACACAGTTTTTAAGTGGCACCATAAAGCCTAGGCTCTATTTTAGTTTCTTAATGTTTAGCAGTTATACCACAGACAATCCACACAGTGGCCCGGCCCTGGGTACCCAGCATCTGAGGGATCAGAACAACCCTAACACAGCTCTAGGGAGGATGTGACCGGAAAGACAGTCCAGCTGCCACCGCACCTTAGGGCACAAACATCATCCACACAGTAACTTCCGAAAGCAGTCTTATCCTGAATGACTTCTATGACTGCCAAGATGGTGTGTGCATCCAGGGTTTGTCCGGTCACTTGAGAAATGAGGTTACCGATGGCTGTTTAGCAGCACCATGGAGGCTCTGGTAGACTTCTCTACCATCAAAGACTGTTCCTCCCGCTCTGGCCCTTGCTCGGATGCAGGTACAAGTACGGATCTAGACACAGAAATCTTGGAAGTGCTAATAGCCCTTGCTCGGATGCAGGTACAAGTACGGATCTAGACACAGAAATCTTGGAAGTGCTAACCTGACAGGGGCAAGCTCCGGTGGAGAAGCATCTGCTTCACAGGCAAAGCTCTGAACTCAAGCTGGAACATCGCAGCAACAATGGAAACCAAAGTTCCACTTCTAGAGACTCTGAAGTCGACCACTCGGAGTAAATCACCAGGTTTCTTCTAAGAAAACTCATCAGTTCTGAAATATCCTTGTTTTGTATTTTAACATCTATGAAATGAAGATAGTTACCAAAATTGACAGTAGGTCTCAATTGGACAACAATATTTGTTTTTCTTCCTCAGTGGCACATCAAACAATGATGCATCTTAAATCGGTCAGGGTCTTAAAACAAAACCAATATGCTCTCTACAGCCAAGAGAACCTTAAGTGTTCAACAGCAAGTTTAGAACTACGCACCAATCAGTAGAGACCCCTAAGGTCACAGAGAAGAGTGCGGGCTGAGGGAGCCACACTCACTGCCACACAGGAGAGGCATCCAAAGTTCCTTTCTGTTGCCAGGTGAGAATGGGGCCCAGAGAAGCCACATTTCTCACCCTTTTTCATGAACCCAAGCTTTAACACAGTATGGAGACCACACTAATGGGAGCCAGCCGTCAATTTTGGTCAAGGAGTGCTTGTCTGCAACCCACAACGTTTAGCTCATTTTCCACCACCATGAATAATCGAGCTACGAAAACCTTTCAAGATGCTTTGACGAAAAAGGTAGCTGTAAGCACACTTGAAGAACTAGGGCTCTGGGGCCGACAGGCCTACTCACTCAACTGAATGTTTTCAACCAGCTCATTTAAGCTCGCTTAGCTTCCATTCCTCAGCCAGAAATGACAGCATACCTCGAGAGTTTTTAAGGAAGCATCAGTTAGAGGACATATGCTTAAGGCTTAGTCCTCATGGCATACACTTGTTTGTATGGAATAAAAGGTCCATCCAAGAACCACCTTATGTCAGCCTGACCTTCATTTTTATGCCATTTGCCTCTTTCCTAGCCACCAGAAATATGTTAAGTGACACAGCCCATCATTTTGTTTGTTTTGGGTTGTGGATTTTTGTTTTATAGTTTGTCTCTTTGTGACAAGGGTCTGGCTTTTAGTCCAGGCTGGCCTCAAGCTCCCCATCCCTCCCTCTGCCTCCTATGTACTGGGATACCACAGCCAATCTTTTCAGAAGGCTGTCATTCAAACTCTTAACACGCCATCCAACAGAAAAATCTCCAAAAAAGGCGGGGGGCAGGGGGGTGTACCTTTCTCAGGCGTCATGAAAGATTTCAAAAGAATAACAATAATATTCATGAGTAAACCATGCCAAAATAGGCCACAGATGGCCACAAATAAATTCAAACAAGAAAAAGCCCTTAAGGACCCAAGCCAGATGCAAAAACTAGTCCAAACCTTTCTGATTCCAAACCAAAGCTGATCCTCGGCCATGAATATGAACTGTTGTTCATTAGCTAATCCCTTCAACACCAGAACTCCTCTGATGGCGATTTCGATTTTGATTCCTGAAACTGACATGCTTTAAACAAGAGTGAATATGAATTCAAAATCACCCAAGGATATTCAGCCGCAATGCATACATAGCACATACCCCCCCCCCCCCCACAGGAGCAAAACCTACATCTTAACCCTTCTCATTCAGTACACTAGCCAGACCTTAGGCGGATGCCCCCAAGCAGCAGTGTCTTGGCTCCAGCATCCTGCTATGATCTAGGTTAGCACCATGCTTGACCAATAATAGCAGTACAGAGCTCACCAGAGCTTTCTAAGATGGGACACGACTAAGTTCATTCCAAATACACAAAGCTTTCTGCCCCCATCAAACACGCACACGTGTCTACTTACAAGAAAACCCTGGGTACAGTGCCCGTTTTTCTGGGGTCCACAAGTAGACGCCTCTCTGCCGCTACATGAGTATCCTCACGTGGTACTTGCAGCCCACTGGCGCTCCCTATTTAACCCAACTTGACAAGCCTCTGGTGCTGTTCATGGGGCATTCCCCTTTCAGAGCCTGTTCATGACTCCCATTTGTTTGCTTACAGAGTAATAGGGGAGACACGGCAAACGAAATCAATTTAACAATTTGTGATTAATACTATCTATGAAGGTGTTCTGTATGTCTTCAAAGGGCCCCCTCCCCGAACGGAGAGGAACCTCCCACACCAAACAAATAGCTTAGAAATATGAAGGCAATCATTTTCTACTGGGGAGAGAAAAATGAAAAAAAAAAAAGGCAGGCAGATGAGGCTTATTTTGGATCATATATGATGTGTGGGGAACTAAACAAGACCATCCACAGCAAGGCAGTAATATATAGATAAACAGTGTTTCCATCACCTCTGGTTATTCGCTATACAGCCCCTCTGACAACGTGCAGGAGCCAACAATCACGGGCAAGCCCCCACACACTCGGTTCTGTGTCTGTGTTCTTCACTTTCACACCCCACACCAGTCAGGATCAGCACTGATTCTCAAGACAAAAGTGGCAAGATGCAGCCCAGCCAAGGTGGATTCTGACACTGGCTGCCAGCATAAACAAAGCTTGCACCCACAGCAGTTGACAGGAGGGATTCCTTTAGGCAGATGCATTTTCCAAAACAGCCTTAAACAATTTCTTTCAAGGAGCTTTTAAAAATAAACATGTTATTTTTAAAAATTAAGAGACCCTAAGATGAAACACAGCTGTCTTCATCCCCCTTGATACCTCATCCAGAGAGCCCCTTTCTTTGTTCAGGAACGTCAGTATCTCAGCACCTCCAAGAGCTCCCTCTGACTGCCCTCCAGCTCCAGACAAGGAGCTGGGAGGAGAATCCCCTGGGTAAACAAAACAAGTCTACTCTCACCCATCTCCAGGTAATACACACACACACACACACACACACACACACACACACACACACAAATTTATTTTACACAACCATGGTAAATAATCAAAAACACATCACACATTATTAGGATTGTGATCATTCTTTGATAAAATAAGCAATTCGGCAAGCACTATCAAAAAATAAAATCAACCCCTACAGGCCCTGCCTACCACAAGATACCCATTTCATTCCACACTTGGGCGGAATACACACACACACACAAGCCACAGTAGGAAAGCTGTGAAAGACACACACACACACACACACACACACACACACACACACACACACACACCATGCCAGTAGGGAAGCTGCTGAAAGCAAAACCATAGCGTGAATCTTGTCTCAGATAATAGACTCTCTTTAAACCCCACCCCCATCACTAGAGAAAGAGGGAGCCTCAGAAAGAAAGGAGCGAGGGTAAGGAAGAGAAATCGAGAAAGCCCAAATTTCCAGGCATCCACTTTTCATGAAATGCACAACCAGGATAGGAAATACCTTCCTGCTGAGTAATGCTTCATGGGTTGTAAATTCACCTCTCGAAAGGGGAGCCAGACCTGGGCGCGCACCCCGCCAGATGGCGGACCACTCCTACCTGCTCCATCCAGCCTGCCTGTCACTCCGCGCCCGCGACAGGCCTCCCACCCCCCTTTTTTGGCAGAGCTACACACCAATAAGAGTCGAGAACGGCTGGTCGAGTAAGGGCTGAGCAGTGATTTAGCAGGATCGTTTCAAAAGGGGGAGTGGGGACCGCGATGAGCGAGTGAGGTTTTTTAAAAACAAAGCCCTCTCTCCAGTCACACCGACCGTTTGGGGGTGTGGCTTATTTCATTTCGTTTTATTAATAAAAGAGATCAATGGAGCTTTCTTCTCTCCACCCACCCAGGAGGTGCCGGGCTAAGAATCCTCTTGACGGGGAACAAATGGCAGGGCTACAAGCTTTCCCTAAGTTTCCTGCAACACCTGCCTCCTTCTCAGATCACACACCAAAACAGGAGAGTCGGGAACGCACAATCCCAGCTCCAGACTTTGCAAGACCCAGGGGCGACGGCACACAACTCTCCGGGTGTCCCCAACTCTCTCTGGGATCTGCACACATCCGCTGCCGAGCGCCCACTAGCAAGAGAAGTCCCAGGGGGAGACACCAACCAGGCTCCTCAGCAATCCCCAGATCGCCTGCGCCACGCAGAGACCCCTAAAGCGACCCAGACGTGACACACGTCACGGACTCCTGGCTGCAGGGGCATGACCAGGAAAGTTGCCCAACAGCCCCCCAAGAGACGCGGTTTGCAGAGGAAAGGGACCCGCGGGGCAGCGGCGCACGCGGCCTCCGCCCACCCCGAGAGCCCCGGGCAGAGGAGCGCACCGCCCCGGTGAGGAGGGAGGACCAAGTCACCCACCGCTCGGGACCGCTCTGGGTCACCCGGATTCCGGGACCCACTGCTGGCAGAGGAAGCGCACAGCCGAGTGGCCTCGTCCCCTCCCCACAGCGCTCTGGGCAAGGAACTCACCTCCTCTTCCGAAAGTCCGTAGACGGGCTCCCCGAGCCCGGTCGCCATGGAGCCGGTGCCCCGCGCGGGGTCCTAGACGCTGCGACCGGCTCAAGTGCGTCGCGGAGCCGCGACCCTCTGTCCTTCTGCGCCGCCCGGCGGGGAAGGGCCGGCAGGTGAGGCTGCACCCGGCCCCGGCGCCGCTTCCTCCCGGAAGGCTGCGGGGACGCGCGGACTGGCGGCTCCGAGAGCGCGCCGAACGGCGGCTGGCCGAGCGCTCTCTCTCTCTCTCTCTCTCTGCTCAGTGCGGAGCCCGCCGGGCTCCCGCCCCCGCCGCTGGCTCTCCCGGCCTCCCCGAGCCCGCTCAGCGATCCCGGGACCCGCGCGCCCGCCCCTCGCCTGCTCCGCCCGGCCTCGCTCTCCCCGCCCCGCCTGCGCCGCCCGGCGCCCACGGGGACCCTCCCGCTCGCCGGGGCGGGCACTCGCGCCCCCCAAGCCAATCAGAGGCCGGGCTGGGGGGCGGGCCGCGGGGGTGGTAGTGTTTCGCCCCACGCCCACCCCACCCCCGCGCCTCCTGGGTCACCCGCTGCAGAGTGCTGAGCTGGGGCGCGCCCTGGCGGGCTGGGCCCTGCCGGGCTGACCCTCCTCCTTGCCCCGCTTCCCTCTGTCTTGGGGATCCAGTGGACTGGACCTTGCGGGGGCCGGACCATGAAGACACCGTGCAAACAACAACAAAACCACTGCTTCCGTTTTTATCTGCCTTTTTTTCTTCTTAACCCAGAGTCCCCGGGAGCGTTTAAAGAGGGCGACGATGCATGTTTCTAGACCCCCTTTAAATTCTTGGCCGCTGTGGCAGGCCAGACTTGGCTAACCGCTTCAGCTCCCCAAAGCGATTCGCCTGGCTGGGTGGCCAGCCTAAGAGAGGCTGCCCCGGTGTGGCCGCGAGTCGCCATTGCTGTCAACTCTGCTGGGAACAAAACCAACTCTGCGCCCGCGCTCAGTACACACCCACCCACTTGAAACCAGGCTGCCTGGTTCTTTGATAAAAGCTTTTTTTTTTTTTTTTTTTTGTGAGGCACAACGTGAAATACCAAATTCAAGTTTAAGTTTGTCCTTTACATATGCAAACGATGGAGACGTCTTATTAGCCACCGTGGGAGTCTTCCCACATTCCAGATAGGGAATTTCTCTAGCAAACCCTTCATTTAATCTTTCGATGTACAGGAAGGAATGCAAGACGCTACTTTAAGTAAGTTGAGAGAAATTCGTCACTCTACTTTTTTCAAGAAGCCTTTCCTAAGAGCCAGGCGTGATGGCATATGACTTTTAATCCCAGTACTAGGGAGGCAGAGGCAGGCAGATCTCTTTGAGTTTGAGACCAGCTTGGTCTGCAGAGTGAGTTCAAGACAACCAGGTCTATAGACACTGTCTCAAAACAAAAAACAAATAGAAAGGAAGCCATTCATCCCTTAAATTTAAATGTTGAGTGCAGTGGATTGATTAGAAAAGAAACAGGAAGAACATGCTATTTGCCTTTAAAAAGAAATCACCAGAGTGTCTGGTTTTGTCTGGGAGGTTAGGATTTTCACTGAAGGAAGAGAGAACTCACAAGATCAACAGACTCTCCTTGCCTGTCCCAGCTTAATGACCAAATACCTGGTATGCACCCTGCAAATCAAAAGGAAAGGTGGTCCCACACGCCTCTACTTGAACTCACGCAGACACACATATATAAATATAACAAATTTTAAGAAAAATAATCATTTCTGATCCTAGCGATAAGCCTGACCTAAATGTTGGAGCCCACCGAGGTTTCCTAGTGGCTGCATAAGAGGATAATTGGGCCACCAGCCTGGGTACCAGGTGTTTGGAAGGGTCTGCACTTGGCTGTATCTAGCAAGGGAAGGTCTTTTGCCTCCTCCCTTGGCATTGTTATAAAAAGCCCTTTTGAATAAAGGGCTGGTGGGTTTTGACCCAGGCCCTCCCAAGGCTATTCTGTGTTTCTGTCTTTCCTCTTGTCATCTAGGTATCTCTTTCTATCTAAATATTTCCCACTTCTCCCTGCTCAAGAGTACCCTGGTCGTAAAAGTGGGGACTGGTCCCCCACACTTAAACAACTATTCTCTCCAAATAGAAACATTCTCTCTGGGAGCCAGGCAGACTCCCTCAGACAATTGCAAGGCTTCTAAGCCCTGAGCTGGTTACATAAAAACAGTAAATTGCTGAGGGGAAGGCCGGCTCTCCAGTGGCACTGCCTGGAAGTTGGGCAGGGAGCTCCAGGGATGCAGCTGTCATGAGCAGCTACCCATGTCATATAGATGGGCTTCTCCATGATGCAGCTGACTTTGAGTCACCAAGCCCCTCTAAGTGATCCCGATAAACCCATCGGTTAGGTGAGCTACGTTAGAGGAACTGTTTCATCGTGTCCTCTGAGAGATGAATATACATCTGTTCATCTCTCCCCAGGAAAAGTCAGACAACAGGCTGAGTCATCTGGATACTGTAGAAGGGTGTCATACTTCTTCATTGTATCTTTCATCATCCTGCTCCCTCCCCACCTCCAACACAACAGCCCATGCCACCTGCAGCCGGGGTCATGCCCTTGACATTCACATGGTATGCATGTATTACATTCTCAAGGAATTAATAAGTTTATATTAAAATATACATAGGAAATTTGCCACGCATCATTCATTATGGACAGTTTACAAAATTATGATCTGTAATATCATTCAATGTCCCAGATGAACAGATTCAAACAAAACATTTACTTGAGATCTGTAAAGGAAGCCTTACTGCCTTTCAAGGAATTGATGAGTTTTTACACTGTGGATGACCAAAAAAAAAAAAAAAAAATTGTCTTACTTGATTGTAATTTTGTTGTTTTGGGTTTTTTTTTTGTTTTTTTGTTTTGTTTTTTTGTTGTTGTTGTTGTTGTTGTTTTTTAGAGACAGGGTTTCTCTGTGTAGCCTTGGCTGTCCTGGAGCTCCCTCCATAGACCACTGGCCTCAAACTCAAAGAGATCCACCTGCCTCTGCCTCCTGAATGCTGGGATTAAAAGCATGCGCTGCCACCACCACCCAGCTTCTGATCGTGGGTTTTTGTTTGTTTATTTGTTTTGTTTTTGTTTTTTGTTTTTTGTTTTTTTTGCTTTGGCTACCAGAAGATACAGAGCACCAAGCCATAAAAGAACTCACTTCAAATTATTAGTATCCTTTGCAACTGTGTACCAGCTTTCTCCCTGTGCAGTGGGTGGTCTTGTACACTGGATGCAGGGTAGAAGCATGTGGGTGGTCTTGTACACTGGATGCAGGGTAGAAGCATGTGGGTGGTCTTGTACACTGGATGCAGGGTAGAAGCATCCGGGTGGTCCTGTACACCGGATGCAGGGTAGGAGCATCTGGGGAGCTTTAAAAATAGACAAAGGGCAGGTTGTCCTCACAAGGTCAGTGGAGGAGGGCAGGCATCATTGGTTATGGTAGCAGCTCAGGTGATCCTCACATGCAGGTTAGCCTGAGATCTACCTGTATCCTAAGCCAACAGCTCCCAAAATGCTACACAGAGAAATACCTGGGGATCCTTGACGACTGCTCTGGGCCACCCACCCCTCGGCATGTAACTAATCCTGGGGGCCCTGTGGGGTTGGTTTTAAAGCTCTCCAGATGATTCTAAAATACAGCAAGGTTTAGGGACCTCTGGACTGAAGTTATATTTCTGCACTTTCACATTTTCATAATTTTTATTCCCTTTTTTCATGTTAGAAGAAACTATGTATTACAAATACGCAGATCATTTGTAGAGTTAAATAGGATGTGAACATCTGTCCTGCACTGCCTAGGGATCTTGGGTTGTTATGGGTGGGGTGGACAGACAAGGAGAGCTATGAGAAACTACCCAGCACTCTTAGCTAAAACAACCAATCTTCCCATTGGTTTCATGGCGAGTCAGAAACCATACCATAACTGTGGTTTCCCCTCTAGAGGTGGTTGCACTGTCTTTGACATCTTAGATTTGGGACTCGGGGTGTCTGCCAGATATCTTCATTGGGACCATCAAAAATGAGAATGAGCGAGAACAACTTTCAAATACAAAGGGTCATCACAAACAGGGAACATGTTAAGGGTGAGCCACCAGTTTGTGGGTTATTGAGTTGTCTAGCAGAATTCTGTGGCTCTTAATCCCATCTGAGAATTAACTCGAAGCAGAATAGTATATAATACCGCGAGTTTATGCCAGGTTATCAGTTAACACTGCTTTTTACCAATGGTTATGCTTCCTGAAGCAGACATGTTGAAAATGGCTACATGCTTAGAAAGACTGGTGTCACAATGGAGCTTGACAGCATTCCTTGAGGCACTGAGAAACCTCGAAAAATGAAGGTGCTTGTGATCAGATGAAGAAATAGCTATCATTCAGGTTTTTGACAGTTACAGATGTAGATAATAGCGAATGACTTGAAAATAACTACTTTTGTATAAAAATAGCTAAGGCTTTGGGAAAGCGCATTTTGAAGGCCTGTGCGCTGCTATTGATTCTGGCACTCTAAAATAATAAAATACTGAGACTGAGATGTAGGATTCCTTATTTGCTCAACCCTACAAAATACCTGCCTTCTGGCTGGCTGTGTGAGTGATTTCCTGTTTCAAAATCATTCTTTCTAAAAGCCCTACACCTGCCCCATACGTTACCAAGTTCTCTTTTCCTTTTTTGAGTTTCTATTAAGAAATGTTCTTTTCATTGTCTTCTCACTGCATTTCTTCCCTTCTCCTGGTTGACAGGTGAGTTGGCATTTCTGTTCTTTCGAAGGTGGCACTTGACACTTCACACGTGTGCCTAAGGCTATAATCAAAGTTATAACCCGCCCCCCTCCCCCGCCCCCACTTCTGAGAAATACAAACATGTTTAAAACATTGGACTTTGTTTTCATTTGCTTGATTTGCTTTTAGTTTATTTATTTGTTTCAATCTTTCCAAGACAGGGTTTCTCTGTGTCACTCTGGCTGTCCTGGAACTCAGGCTGTAGACCAGATTGACTTGGAACCAGAGATCCACCTGCCTTTGCCTCTGAGTGCTGGGATTAAAAGTATGTGCCACCATGCCCAGGTAAAACACTGTTGTTGGGTTTTGCTTTGTTTTAATTTTTTTCCAACTCCTTGTACAGTATTGATATAAACTTTCATTCTGAATTTATATTTGTGATGTTGGATATTAAACCTAGAGCTTCACAAGAGCAGAGCAAAGGACCTGCCACTAAGAGACACTCCTACTGTCCCTCCCTCCCTCCCTCTCTCTTTTTTTAACTACAACATTGGACATTGTTATTATACAACGTTTATAGCTTTTCCAATATAGTTTT